GCATAGTCAAGGATGGCACTGGAGTTGGAGATTGGGGTAGAAGCGATGACTTAAAAATGAGGATAAGAGGACATGTGTACTGAATGGTGAGACTAGGGTGGTCAGGGCAGTAAATAGAACTATTTAGCGAGGCGGTGTGGTATGGCTGTAATGCTGGCATAAGAAGGTGTTCACTGCTGAGATGGGGAATGGAGTGGGTAGATGAGCTGTGCAGGGTTGGTAGGAGCCCGTGACCCTTGCTGTGCTCATTTTGCAACCATTACTTGTAGCAAGTTATCAGGGATTCCAATCTAGGGGGAGGATAAGAGATGAAGGAATATAGGGAGATGGCTGGAAATCCTGGTTAAATAAGATACTGAAACATCTGCAGTTGGTATTCTGAAATCTGAGTGGAAAGATTAGACTGTTGTATATTAGCCCATGAGGTTAAAGTGCAGTGCTCCACTGTTGGGACTTGTGTTTGCCCTTTAGTACTGCATATACTTTGGTCTTGATGTACAAATAGTTTTCATCTGTCGATGTTGCCAATCTTTTGCTAAATGAGTTAGTATTACCTCTGTGCAAGAAATGGTGAAATCAGTACCCAAGTAAATTTGGTGGCTTGCCTTGGTGTGAAACTGATCTCATTGTATCAGCACTAACGGGGAATTTTGCCATTAATTTTGAGCAGAAATAAGCTGTATACCTGAATAGAATATGTACATAATAAGGTTCTGCGCAAGATGCAATATCCTCTTTTATACCATGCTGTGTCCCATGAGTCTTCCCCCTTCTCCCTTTGGGAGCACTTCTCATTAGCTGAATTCTTCTCCAAATACTCAGACTCTTGACTTTGCAAGTGAAGATAAATGTGACAGATCTCTGTGCTAGTTGGTAAGGAGACATGTTGATTCACAAAGCATATGGAGTAAATTCAGATGAGTGGCATGATGGCTTACTAATTTAGTTTGGGTTACAAACAAAAATGGCCATGAGATAAGAGCTGTGCACACTGATGGTCTGCTGACTCTGAGTGCTGGGGCGGTCAGAGGGCACGGCTGGCAGTGTGGCTCTGCTGCCCCAGCTCTTATCTGCCTGCTGCAATCCAGCTGCTGGCGGGTCCTCCTGCAAATATGCAAGAATGCGAAAGAGCAGCTCCCTGGGTTGGGGAGGGGAGGCTGTCGGCAAAAGGAGGTCTGAGTGAGTTATGGCAGGAATGGCTGAATGGCTTGTTTGAGAGAATGGATGAGATGTGTTTTGGCTTTGTGCTCTGAGAACTAGGTGGTCTCTCGTCTAAAATTTTTGCAGATGGCAGAGTTTGAAAAAGGTAACCGATACCTCAGAAAATAGCAAAGAAATGCGATGGAACCTAGTAATGATCCCAGCTAAGCAGGGTGAACACTGTGCAGGCCTGTAAGGTCTTGGGGCAGCTGTCCTGACTTTTCTAAGTAAAACTGCTAAAATGCTTTTCCTCTTGGCTTAGGAACGACTTGCATGTAGGCTCTGTACGCATTCCTGTGCTTCTAACACACACTGTGCATTTGAGCAACAGGCCTTTTCTGTATTGACAGGAAAATTAATTTACAAGTATGCTAAATCTGCAAGCCTCGCTTACTCAGGGAGGAGAACGCTTGGTTTTTGTGGCTCAGGTACAATTTCTGGTACCTGTTTTGGAGGTGCTTTAGTGCTGCGATGCTCAGAAGCTGCGAGATCAAATGCGCAGTGCACAGGAGGTTGCAGCGCAACTGGCACCGTCTGTGCTGGGCAGCTGCTTTTTCGTGTTAGATTAAGTTAGGTCACTCCCCTTGGTCTAAGAGAGGCGTGCTGAGGTCGGTTTTGTTAATCGAGTTTGATACCAGTTATGTCAAGATAACTTCACTGGGACGAAATCGGGCCTAATTTTAGAGCACAGTTCTATGGGCCGCGGGAATCAACTGTGCTGCTTCGGTTCGTTTTCCGCGGAAGTAGCGGTGGGCTCGCAGCCAGGGCCGTGCGGCTGTGCCAAGGTGGAACCGAGCAGGGCCGCAGCTCGGAGACCGCCGTCCGAGGAGCCCGGCACGGCGCCGTACCGGCCGCGTTTGCAGACGGGCGCAGCCCCGGGGGCTCGCGGGCTCTGCCGTCCTCCGCAGGAGTCGGCCGCCGGCTGGGAGCGGGCCGGCGCTGCGGGACGGGACCGAGGGGCGGCCCGCCCGTGCCCGCGCTTGCGGCTCGGCGCCCGCCGGCCGCTCGAGGCCGCGGCGCCGCTCGGGGTTCAGCCGCGTGGCTCCCGGCGGGGCGCGGCTGCCGGCCGCCCGCAGCAGACGTACCCCGGGCCCCGCTCCGCCCGCCGGGGCCGCGGCCCCTCGCGCAGCCGCCGCCGGTAGCGCGGTGGAGCGGCCCCCGATCCGGCGCTGAGCAGAAGCTCCGCGCCGCTCCGCCGTGTCCCGCCCCCGCCCGCAGCGCCGCCCGCCCTCCCCCCGCTGGGGCCCTCCCTCCTTTCCTCCCTCCCTTCCACGGCTCTCCCGGCGCGGTGGCCCGGCCCACGTTTTCCCTCTCTCCCCTCCTCCCTGGTCATGTGTCGCCTTTTTTGTTTGCGGTGGAAACAATTTCTCGCTCTTCGGCTCGCGCCGGGCGGACCGCTGCCCGGCGGCGCGGGGTGGGGGGCGGTGCGGCCGAGCCCATGCAGGCGGCGGAGCGCACCGCGCCGGGACCCCCGCGGCGCGCTCGGGGCTCGGGCTGAGGCGGGGCGCACCATGCCCGCCTCCGTCAGATGAAAGTTTGCGCCGCAGCCATGGAAGGACCGCGCTGAGGCCGCCCCCCGCCAGGTGAGCCCCGGCCGCCGCCGCCGCCGCCCGCGGGGCCCCGCCGCAACTTGGCCGGGAGTTGGCGCGCGCGCCGCCGTGACCCTGCAGCCGGGCCGGACTGTGGGGCCTCGCTCCGGGCTGCCCGGGTGGGACTCGGGGTGCCGGCGCGCGGCCGAGGGCCTGTCCGGAGCGACGCGCCGGGCGCGGGCAGAAGTTGCCGTCCCGACGCGGGGCGGAGGGCCGCTGACATCTGGCCAGCATTGGAGGTATGCGCGCCGCCGGGCTCCCCCGCCCGCCCTGAGCAGCGCCGGTCGCCTAGCAACGGCATTGATTGGCTGCGTCGCCGGCCAATGGGCGGGCGCCCCCCGCCCGGGCGGCGAGTGCGGTGGGAGCGGTGCGCGGGGGCCGCCCCCTCCCCCCTCCTTCCCCCGCGTCGTCTCAGCGGCCGCCGCGCAACCCCGGCGCCGCGCGGGGCCCCGGCTGCGGGAGGCTGCGCGCACCCCGCCGAGCGCCCGCGGTTGGCGGCGGGTTAAAAATGCTCCGTCGCGGGCCCCCCTGTGAGCGCCGCTCCTTTGTCTGGTGGCGGGGAGAGGCCGCCGCCGAATTCCTCCTCGTGTCCGCGTTCGCGTCCTTTCCCAGGGCCGAGCCAGCCCGCCGGGAGATGCGGCCCCGCCGCCCCCCGGGCCGGGTACCGAGTGCCGCCGCGGTGCTCGAGGCTTCGGGCCCGCCGGGCTGCTCCCGTCCGGGAACGGGAGGGCGGGCGCGGGGCGGCCCTTCGGGGGGGCGCCGAAATAAGCAAATTAAACAGAAAGAGAGCAGCGTGTTGTCATGGTGACGGCGCAATTACATTACTTTACTGTCAGCCGTCGCGTAATTCCCTGTTCCGAAGCTCCTGGGACGCAACTTCCATCCGGAGCCGAAGTTGCGCTGCGCCGCAGGGCAGTGCCCGCCACGGGGCCGGCGGAGCTCCGGCGCAGCTCGTTTCCTCCGGCAGCCGCGGCCCAGCGGGCGGCCGTGTGGCGGCTGTACCTCTGCCGTGCCTTTCTGCTTCGGTAATGGCCGCGTCGATTGGAAGTATATGGAGGAAGACCCGAAGAACTTCCCTTTTTCACTTTTCTGTAACGTCTGAAAGAAGTCCATTGGTTTTCTTTCCCAGAATGGCTCTCTTCCCATTTTTCCTGATAGATGCACTGCTTGTTTTGCTGCTGCCTGTGCTTTTTGCCCTTTAGTACGGTATCAGGTGTGACTGTAGGAATTGTATCAGTGGTCCCCTGGATGCAGGGGATCTCTGCACTGGTGCAGGAGACTGCCTGCTGTTGAAATGCATTGATTCTCACCAGTGTTTATTTTGCAGCTGGCCGTGCCCCCAGTCCTCAGTCCTGGCACTTTTACTGCACGGCAGAGGCAGGGAAGCTGTGCTGCTCCTGCAGTGCTGCTGCTGCTCACACGCTGCTCCCAGCTCCATCCTCCCTGGCTGCCTGGGTCCCCCCATCCCTGTCAGCTCAACCTGCGCTCAGCTCACAGCACCTCCTGCCTGCCTTGGGCCATGGCTGAGGGCAGCTCAGTGCAGGTTAAAGCCCTCTCTGTTTACATACACTTTTAAAGTGCTCTATTCCTCTGGTGCTTGTTTCCCTGTGTATTGGCCCTGGTCCCAAAGCTACTGTGTGCTGCTTTCCCTCCCTCCTGTTCTGCTTTGCAAGTTCTGCTGCAGCAGTGCCTGTGGTTGGATTTGGTGCCTGTCTGCGTGAGCCCTCAGCCAGTGCTGTTTTACAGAGCTGTATTACAGTGCTGTATTACAGAGCTGTTGTGTTGCCCTCAAGACTGAAACAGCTGAACTTAATCTGAAGCAACTGCACCTAAGCCCTCTTTTTTTTTTTTTTAGATTTAAATTTACATGCTTATTAAAATGATATGGAGTATTCAATGATTTGATACACATATTCATTATTAAAGGAGTGTGTCCCTAGGATTTCCTGTGTAAGGCTTCAAGTACAGAGAGAACTGAGGCATATTGGCATTATCATATCATTCCATGTATTGAAAGTTCTTTACTTGCCTTGACTTCAGGTTATTTTACCCAGAGTTTGGGAGTGAGCTTTAACGTGGGTCTGTTGTTTTTAAAACAGATGGCACGAGGCCAAGCAGCTGGTGGGGAAAAGCTGTCAAAATGTTATGCGGTACCTTTACCAGCTAATAACTTTTTTTCTGTTTCTTTTCCCCCCGGTGTGGGACTCTCAGGAGCCTCTGCCTCAATGGGTCCAGTCATGCCTCCCAGCAAGAAGCCGGAGGGCTCAGGAATCAGCGTTCCCAGCGGACTGAGCCAGCGGTACCAAGATAGCGATTTGTCAAAGGCACTTCACGATGACGAGGACCTAGATTTCTCTTTGCCTGCCATCAGATTAGATAAAGGGGCCATGGAAGATGAAGAACTAACTAACTTGAACTGGTTACACGAGAGCAAGAATTTGCTGAAGAGCTTTGGGGACTCGGTGTTACGAAGCGTCAGCCCCGTTCAGGACATTGGTGATGACACGCCTCCGTCCCCCGCCCATTCGGACATGCCCTACGATGCCAAGCAGAACCCCAACTGCAAACCTCCTTACTCCTTTAGCTGCCTCATATTTATGGCCATCGAGGACTCGCCAACCAAAAGACTGCCTGTAAAGGATATATACAACTGGATTTTAGAACACTTTCCGTATTTTGCAAACGCTCCTACTGGATGGAAAAATTCTGTAAGGCATAATCTGTCCTTGAATAAGTGTTTTAAGAAAGTGGACAAAGACAGAAGTCAGGTAAGTTTGCAACTGTGGAGGCCTGTCTGTGATAAAACTCACCAGCTTATCCCAGAACGTATTCATAACTGTAAAATGTAGAATACACAACGCTGTCCCTGGTAACGCAGTTCATTACATTCAGAAAACCAGCATTTCTTTAGCATGGCTCATTCTGATTTTATTAAATTCATTGTCTAGACATCAGCAAGAAAGCAGTCGGTGTGTGTGTTTTCTTTGCTCCCCAGCTGGTGTCTTCATGCATAGTGGTTAAATATTGTTTTTAGTTACCGTGCTGTGGTAATGGTTTCCAGCTCTACTAGATGAATGTAATCATGTTATAAATAGGCTGCTTGCTGTTCTTGGCTTATACAAACATATAGTGAAAGGGTATGCCTTACGTAAGAGGCCATCTCTTTTTTCCCCAATCTGTGTTGTACTCAGAAAAGAGGGTTTTTTTCTTTTTTTTCTTAAATGAGCAGAAGTAGTACTGAATTGTAGGGGCGAAGCTTCATTCTCTTACAAGTAGAAACAGAAACTTCAAACAGAGCAGATAGGTCTGGCATCAGAGGTGAAAGTTACCAGAAACTCAGCCATTCTGTCTCTGGAGTTTTGCCGCTTCTGAGAACAGTGCAGTGGCAGAAGTCTGGGGAGCAGATTGTTGCTTTCAGATCTCTGCTGTTGCTGTCTGGTTTCATTGCTGAATCCTCAGCTGCATCTGCAGGAAGAGGCTGTGTGCGAGGGAATGGGGAAACGAGCCGCGCCGCGGAGGCAGGACTTTGCATAACCTTCTATTGCATAAACCAGACTGGGAGCAGATAGCATTTTCTGGAGGGGGCGGGCTCCAGAACCTGCGATCTGGGATGAATCTTTGGCAAAGTACGAGCATACTGATAAAAATACCAGCCTGCAGATTAATTTCACAGTCCTTCCCACAGGTTGGTGAACTAAATAGCAGGTAGAATCACGTCGCTGGCTGCTCTGCAGTTGGCTGAAGATCAGAAAGGGAGCGCTTTTTTTTCTGGCAGAAATAATAGATGCTCTCAGCTGCTGTATTTCAGTTAGGTTAGTGCTGTGATAGTCTTGTAACTGGTTACCCTGGAGCGAGACTTCTGTTGGTGGTGCTGTTCTCCATAGTTTGGGTGCGATTTAACTTTAAATACTCTGGAGTAGAAGGTATTTTCTGGATGAAGAGTCTTACATTACCCTAAGCTAACAACTTTTTATTTAAGATTACTTAATTTGCTTTTCCTTAAGGCTTTACTTTCTTAAATTACTGATTTCTTACCTTTTCTTTTTCAATGTCATTCCTTGAAATCCACTGTCCACGCATTGGAGACCACATGCCGTATGTTGGTATTTTTATAAATTCGTTGCTGTGAACGATTGTGTACGAGATTAAAAAACCTGTTCCTGAACTGGATCTTGTTTCATGTAAGCCAGAGCCTCAAATTCTTGTTTGGAAGCAAGACTATAATAGCAAGGGCCACACCAACCTTTTATGATCCTGTCCCAGGCCATAAGAAACCTTAACACACAGCACATGTTAAAAAAAACGACCAGTGCCGTAACTGGCAAGGCATGTGTTTAGTGCTGCCATTTGTTCTATCCCCTTCCTTTGTTTACAAGCTGACTATTTAAATTACCGTTTCCTTCCTATGAGGAACCTGTCTTCATGCATATCTGTCGAATATCCGCAGCCTTCTAAGATCACAAGAGCCATACCATGAAGCACTTCTCCACGGGGAAGGGGAAAAGCACAATACATGAGTAGTCACCTATGTCTTGAATTCATTATTAGAGCCGTGGTTGAACAGCAAGACAATAAGGTGTGGGGAGAGCCCTTGCCTGTGGAAGTAACAAGGTGGGGTTTTAGACTTCCCTAGAAAAGCATAGGATATGAAAAATAATTCCTTCCATCTTTTCATGCTCCTGAGCCCTTAATAACTATGCAGTCACCCTGCTGGTAGCCAGCATTAAGGTAACTGAGAAGAGAATCTGAAACTTAAAATGCACAAAGTCAGGTCGCTTAACTCACGTCCTGGCCAAGGGACATGGCAGGTGGGGACGGGAGTGCAGAGCTGGCACTGGGAGCGGGTTGCTGAATCAGGTGCCTGACAGCTAATTGTGGACTTGGAAAGCACTAACCTCCAACTGCTGGCTTTGAAAGACATTCATGTGCTCTCACACACCTCCAGAGTTAGTTCGAGTGCCTCAGAGCAAGCAGTCTGTTGTTGACAGCAGCCTGCAAATCTCATAGGGTTCCTTGGACCTCGGGGTTGGGTTAACTCTCCATTACAGGGAATCATCTCATGCCACTTCTTCCAGTTTGTTGCCACATTCTGCAAGTTACAGGTTTAGAGTGTGCTTGTCTTACTGTTTGTATGTGACAAAAAACATTTGACAAATGGCATCTCTGAAATCCTAACAAGCTGGGCTCCGAAACATGGAGTGCAGGGAAGGAGTTAATCAGTGCTGGGAATTGCAGGCATTTGCTAGCTGATGTGCGCTGACACACGCTGGAAAGCTAGAAGCTTTCCTCTCTGAGTTGTGCTTTCCACTGCTTGTTTGTATAGCCTTTTGGTAATGGTTTTTCTAAAAAAAGTTCTGCTGAACACTTAATTCTTTTTTGGATTCCCTCTACATAGTAGTTCTCTCAGTCTTGGGCTCGCTAATTTATATTCATGGGGCTAAATACGTATTTAATAGCCTGCAGCTCTTGCATGTGTGTGAATGCTCACCTTTTGTGATGTGAGATGCTCGCATTTCCTAAAATGTGAGATCCTTGCAATGGAAAGAAATTTCCAGCTTGCCCTGTTCTGGATCTTCTGAGGGAGCAGACGTTTTATCCCCAGCTGTGCTTATGTGTTGCTGCAGTGCACAGAGCTGCCGTGCCATCAGGCTCCCTGGGCAAGGCGACAGTGACCGCGTGTAACTTTGCTGCTGGCTTGAGGCAGGCAGGAGGGCTGAAGAAGGGAAAACGCTGAGCCCTTGATTGTGCAAACCTCTTTGCATTGAGCTCAGCAGTTTAATAATAGTTGGCCGGAGCATAAAGTGTCACATGATGGGGAGCACAAGAGGAGTTCCCTGGCTTTGTTTATACTGCTGGACTTGTGAATTCAGTCATTCAGATTAATCCTATCGTGAGCACACAGATCTAAATGTCCTCTAGTGTGCGTCCCGTTTAGCACAGCCCTCAGCCCGTGACTTCTCTGACTTCCCTGCCATCTGGTCCTTGGCTGTGGAGAGGAATTTTTCTTGTATATGCGTCTCCATAGCAACGCGTTTGCAGTTGATATGGAAAGTAAGCAGTTGCCCTAGCAACGGAGTTACTGATGTGGCAGCTCCTCTGCTCGCAGGGAAAGGGCTAAGCTAGTTCAGACGCATTATGTAGGTTTGCTGTAATTATAGCTGCGCCCACTAGTGCTGCTGTAGCTAAGGGTCTGTTGAAATATTTTGCGATAAGCCCCATTTTTTTTCTCCTTGAAGATCTGTATTATTATTATTATCCATGTAGGGATTCCTGCTTTGAACAGAGGCCACTAAGGTTGTGTTTTCAGGGCATGTGATCAATCTGTGCCTTTTATGAATGCAAACTTTGCTGACTGTTATTATCAAACGTGAGTGGATGAAGGAGAAAGATGCTTGGCATCACTGGCTTCTCTGCCGTTTTTTGGTCTCACTCAGCAGCCCAGCTATGGAAAAGGAAGCTCTCATCCTGTGCCTTGTGCTCTGCTGCCTTTGTTTGCCCGGTCTGTGCAGCTCCGGATATCCCTCCTACAGAGTGGGCTCCTCTTTGTGTCTGCCCTGCTCGTCTGAGGCAGAGGCAGAGAAATGTGCACGTGTTCCGAGCTGGGTGCATGCTAGGGAAATTCAAGATCTTCAAGGTTTGCTTGGTGCTTGTGCTGAGTGATGTCTCAATAAAAATATCTCAATAAAAATGTAATTAAAGTAATGGATATGATATGGGGATGGGAGAAGAAAATTCTTCTCGCTTGATATTGAGGTTATTCTTAGAAGTACATGGATCATAACTGGGTCACAGAGATCCAAGGCTGCAAGGCTGCTCCTCTGTCTGGAGTGGGCTGTGGGACCCGAGGTCTCCTGAGTTACTGGCGTGTGTGGGATGTCCTCATGCCATGTAGCCTGGTCTGTGCCATGGCCAGGGAGCTGGTGGGACCCCACGTGCAGCATGGGAACTTCTGAGAAGACCCTGCAGCCAGCATGCTTCCTCTGAGGTGATACTGCCTGGGCTTTTGACAGGTAGAGCCCTGCAGGAAGATAAGAGATATCTGGTGTGAGAAGCAAGGCAGTCTGATTGTTCTTTATTATGAGATCTCTTAATCCAATCTGCATACACACGAAGGTGGTAGACGCGGCAGTATCCTCCCTCTGCTAATGTTCAGGAGGATGTCCTTTGAAAGCTGTATGGCCCTCTGGGTGTGGAAACAATCTCCTTCAGTTCTAATACCACCTCTCCTGACCCACATCGCACAAGCATCAGAATTGCATTGGGTTTGTAACATCTGGTTGGAACTACGGTGGAAAAACCCTTCAGACTCATGTTAAGGACTTCATATGATGCTGACGCCTTTAATAAAATGATGTCCTAAATGAGCAGATCCAATTGTTAATGTCCCAGATTGTTAAAAGAAAAGTGTGGGTTTTTTAAATTAGAATTTGTTGTGCTTAACCCCAGATCAATTTTCTTATATCTCAGTCTGTCATAAATGTGCTCTCAGCCACCAGAAATGTTCCCCTCAAATTATTTTTTGAAGCAAAGAGAGTCATCTTCTTCTAGAGAAATCATAGCAGTTTCTAGAAACTTCCTCTAATACAGAATTTCTGGATACTAGACAATTTGTGAGGTTTCTTGAACCCTTTCAGCTTTGTTTTTGAAGTGCAAAAGCAAGGAATTATACAGAATATTTAAATAATAGATTTCCTAAAGCTCTGCATGGAAATACTCTTCCACTTAGCTGGCTTCCAGCTGGTTGACTACATCATTGCTTATTCTTTGC